TATTTACAAAAGGAATTATAATTTGGTGAGTATATAAAAACGACTTTGTAGGGTGTATAAAAACGACAGTCAAAAAGGGACAATAGGGTAATGAAGTTGCTCCAAGGATACTATCACTTGGGATGATCTACGTTCATGTCTTCTCCGTGCTCGATGTTAAAATCGATGTAGAAGCTGCAAAAAATATTGCAAAATGCAATGCCGGCAACGCCAGATATAAAATTATATTGCTGCTATCGGGGAGCCACACCCAAAACTTGCAGAAATAGTGGAGTGTGCAATGCTCGCTGTAAATGCTGGTCGCAAAGCAGGGGCAGAACCAGCCAGATAGATGTCAACCCAAAGCAGAGTTGGAACGGAATCAACAATATTTTGGACCTAGCCCTACAAGAAAACCATACGAAACGCCCTGAATGCCAGCTATCTAATTTGAACAAAGCGCGTGGAATGTTAAACTCGCCTGCTCGCTACGCCCATTGCATAGTTGAAAAAGTAGCGGGCAAAATTCTAGGTGACGCGCTGTGCAAAAAAAAGTTTAGTTGACCGCGAGAGGGCGCTAGGCAAAAAGCATGATCGCAATGGCTGCTCACATGTAAAATGACACAAACACGAAGTTAAGAAGTTATGAAATAATGCTGGAGTAAATAAGGAACCAGTCGAGGAAAAGTAAGTACTGAAACCCGACCTGGTTACATAGAGTATCGTGTTCGTTTTTTCATGAGGTTGTAGACTATGCCGTGAGAAACATTTCTTGTTCCCGGACACAAAACCGCTTGACCTTTACTTCCGGTGTTACTGGTGTTACCAGAAGTGCAATGAAAATTGAATATAACGCAAAAGCGGAAGCATTTTACTACAAACATGTATATTATGCAAGTGTTTAGTGAGAAATGCAAGTCACAAAAAACAGTGTGATGACGTCATAATCCGAAAGGGCGCCCCCTAGCGGCACATAAAATTGTGTTTGTTTTCTTTAATCTGAAGAGCATCGGTTCCAATTTTACCAAATCGCCCCTTGATATTCTTTGATTAACCACAGATAACTTAGCAAGGTTTCAAATTCATGACAGCATCAGACCGGAAGTTACATCGATGAGAATTTGGAAAGTATCATATTTTAAATTAAATTCTATCATGTGATCCATGTCGTATATCTTCGTAGCCCAAATAACGATACCATAACAATTAATGTTAAACTTTTGCTTCCAAATACTAGTGATGTCATGAAACCGGAAGTTAGGTGTTATAAATACATACGGTTATATATTCCATAAGCATTTTACTACAAACATGTATATTATGCAAGTGTTTAGTGAGAAATGCAAGTCACAAAAAACAGTGTGATGACGTCATAATCCGAAAGGGCGCCCCCTAGCGGCACATAAAATTGTGTTTGTTTTCTTTAATCTGAAGAGCATCGGTTCCAATTTTACCAAATCGCCCCTTGATATTCTTTGATTAACCACAGATAACTTAGCAAGGTTTCAAATTCATGACAGCATCAGACCGGAAGTTACATCGATGAGAATTTGGAAAGTATCATATTTTAAATTAAATTCTATCATGTGATCCATGTCGTATATCTTCGTAGCCCAAATAACGATACCATAACAATTAATGTTAAACTTTTGCTTCCAAATACTAGTGATGTCATGAAACCGGAAGTTAGGTGTTATAAATACATACGGTTATATATTCCATATTTGCATACGTTATTTAACTTCACAATAAACATTTATCCAGTCTGAACTAAATCAGTATTCACTTCCCGTTTTTTTTTAATAATGACGTCATCAAGCTAGAATAACTTGTATGTGTACATGAAATGTTTATGGAAATTTAGCACACCGTTAAAGATGCATTGTTAACAAAATAATTTATTGTGATGGAAAGGATTTAATTTCGTGATCCTTTGTTGTTACATAAACATATATTCATAACTTAACTCGGCAGTGTTTCATTAACAAATTGCCTGCCCGACCACTCTTACGTTTTTGTAACAACAAACGCGAACCTCTAGTTTTGTTTAAAAATGTTTCTTTTAGGTAGTGATCAATGTCAGTATGTATTAATTTTTGTAAACGTAGAAAAAGTGAATATTGGTAGTGAATAGTGATGTTATTCGGAGAGGATACATGTTCATTATGAAGTTAAAATAATGTTTGAAAATACGGCATATAAGTGTGTGTTCACACTTTATGAGTAACTTGTTGTTTCATGACGTCACAGCACTAGGGATCCAACGGTGAACAATGTACATGTAACAGGTATCATTATTTGGGCTACGAACAAAGTCACAAGACATTGGTGACAGGGATCAAATGATAGAAATACATTTTTAAAAAAATCTTGTTTTGAAATTGTGATCACAGTAACTTGAATTTTTCTGATTCTAGGTTTGGTGTTTATTTGGATGAATTGTCAGTTCGGTTTGTATGTTGTTTTCATAAGTTTGAGAAAGATATGATCAAGATGAATATGTCCGGCCGAGCTAAGTTTAATACAATTTACAATTTTTGCAACGAAAGTGAATGTTTTGTTCAGATGCGCAAGGCAATCATGCGTTATTGCACCGGAGTTGTAAAGGACGCGGACGGCGGGACGCCAACTATCGCCATCAGTGCAGTGCAGCATTGTTCTCCTTTTTTTCCTTTGTTCTCCTTTTTTTCCATTAATTTTTACTAAAAACCAAAATTGACAGAGCTGTTTTTTTATTTTACCTCAACCCCCCCCCCCCCCAATTTAAACCTGGGGGTTGGGAAATGAGTTATGTAAGTGTCTGTGTTGTAAGAAATTGTATGTTTTTGCCAACAGAAAATGAAGGTCTACAAGAAGAAAACTACTTGCAGGGCTACGTTGTGGCATCAGAGACTAGACGGGAGGAAGGAGTATGTGTTACCCTTGTCTGTTACGTCTGTTATCCTTCACTCACGTTACATCTCGTACCTTCCCTTCAGTGTCTACCCATGTCACGCCTACATGCAACATTCCATTTCCAGTAAGGACTCCTTCGGGAGAAAATGCTCAAGACTCCTTCGGGAGAAAATGCTCAGACTCCTTCAGGAGAAACTCAGATAATGCCTCCTTCGGAAGAAACTCAGATAATGCCTCCTTCGGGAGAAACTCAGATAATGCCTCCTAGGCCTACTGGAGAAAATGCTCAGACTCCTTCGGGAGAAAATGCTCAGACGACTCCTGGAGAAAATGCTCAAACTCCTTCGGGAGAAAATGCTCAGACTCCTTTGGGAGAAAATGCTCAAAAATGCCTCCTAGTGGAAAAAAATGATCAGATAATGCCTCCTAGTGGAGAAAATGCTCAGAAAATTCCTCGATCAAAGTTTCAAATGAAGTCAGAATCAAAAGTGAAGGACTTGAAGAAGATAAGAATGAAGACGATGAGTATCAAGAGACTAGTTCAGCAGAATGCAATGAAAATGTTGAAGGTCAGAGGTCAGACATGCTGCAGCAGAAACAAAGTATTAGACTGTATTGTAGAGCTCTGCATAGAGCCAAGAAAAGTTTCAAAACCAAAAAAAAAAAATGCGTAGAAGTGCATGTAGATAGGCTTATCACAGGTCAAGAAATGGTAAGGTGGTGGAAATCTCTATGAGTAAGGAAGAAAGAAGGAACTATGAGAAAGTACAGCAGAACACACAAACTCACACTAGAAGATGCTTGAGTTTTGTCATTAGTAATATGCAGAAGAGAGAGAATGCAAACAAAAGCAAAACAGGAAATTTCAGTGTAGAGCTTCATTTTTGAAAAGCAAAGGCTCAGATGCAGCACCCCAGAATCATACACAAAAGAGGTTGCACAAGAGAGACAGTATTGTGGAGAAGACAAAGGTTACAATAATGGATCAGTCTGTAAGAGAGGCAATGGCATGTACTTACAGTGTTAACAGCAGTAATAGGAAAGATTCTAAGCAAAAAAATGGTGTCCATTTGTGTTGGCTTTGTGATGAAAGCAGTTCAGAGAAGGAAATGCGGTGTGATAAGTGTAAAGAATGGTTTCATGTAAGATGTATGAGGTTCTTGAACATGCGCGAGGATTTAGCAGATAAACATGTTTCCTGGATTTGTCGCAAATGTGGACATTCAAATTTTTGTAACAAATTGTTCAATGATTTTGGCATTCCAACAGATGTGAATATGTTTGATATGAAGAACTGCAGTGTGGACATAGAAAACTGTGAAGAAGAAAATGAAGATGAATGCTTTCAAGCCAGAGAAACCAATATGAGGCAAGTGGCACAATTGTCAGTGACTAAGAAGCATGTGTATGTCGAACAAACCGGAGGGTATTCTTTAAGAAAAAGGACTGAACAGAAATCTTCAGCAGCAAAAAGTGAAAGTGTAACAGAGAAAGAAAAACATGAAGGAAAAGATGGGAAAATGAATGTAAAGAGATCAAAGACAGAGGGTCAAGGAAGAATTTGAAGAGGAAACAAAGGTCATGTTTAGTTGAACCTTCAGAAAAGAAAATCAAGGCAGAAAATGAAAACTGTGTAGATTTAGAACCTAAATGTGAACAAGTAATTAATAGTATTGCTATTCAGGGTACTTGTAATCAAGATCATCCCAAATTTCGCCATCGTGGGAAGCAATGTGTTCCAAATAGCTTATGCGCAATGATGTACAGTCAGATAAAGGAATTGAGGACCTGGACAGGCAGTGATATGGATTTGATTATCAATACTGGTGATGAGTTGTATGGTTATTTATCTCAGAGTTGTACAACGAACAATGATTACTTGTTGATAAATGAACTGCCTACAGAATTAGATGCATATAACAAACGTTTTCACATTGACATATCATGATCAAGTTATTGGTGCATTTAGTGATGATTTGAATTTACAAGAGTTCCAAATGAATCCGCTCAGTTGTGCTCTTGAACAGACATTGCAAAGGTACCAGGCATGTTTTGTATGTTTTCATGGAAATACTTTTTGTGTAATTTCCCAAAATCATAAGTACTTCATTTTTGATTCACATTCCAGAGATTGCAGTGGTTGCCTAGTGAGTGAAGGTAGAAGCCTAATGAAATGCGCTCCAACATGGCAAGATGTACACAGGTATTGCACTAATTTGGGTAGATCAATGAATGTGTCTGATCGTGAACAATTTGAAATTACAGGTGTGAGTTTGTTCATTGTAGATGATGAAAGTATCTGTGAAGAGAATGTAGTTGGCATTAACCAGAATGAATGGTTCGATTTCTGTGTCACTGTTGGAGAAGAAATTTAGTTACAAGTATAAAGAAAGAAATGAACAAGAATTCATCAGCACATTCTAAGGGGATCAGTAGTTCATGTAAGTCGGGGAGTTGAAAATGTCAATGAAGGTAATAATTCTAAAGATCACTGTGATGTTGAAATGATGGAAGTATCTACAGTGAGTGATTTTAGATTTGCTCCATTATCATCTGAACATAAGGTTGGATTGTGTAAAATGCTTGGAGTTGTCAAGACTAATTCAAAGTTTGATGGAAAGTATGTACAGTGTGACAACATTGGGCAACCAGATCATTTGAAGAGAATCCAAGGTGACAGGAATTGTTTTTTTCAGAGCTGTATCATTTGCTATTTCTGGTACTGAACGTAATCATATGAGATTGAGATTGGCCACTGTGAATCACTTGTTGAAAAACGCTGATCAGTACAAGTCCTTCTTGCATCAGGGATTCTGTAGTGTTGAAGATTATGTTTCAAAGAGAAGAGTCATGTGTTCTGGAATTTGGGCAACAGAATTGGAAATAATATGCTTAGCACATATGCTCCAGACTGACATATATACTTATAGTGGAAGATGGTTGATATTCTCTGGACAACATGGTGGACTGGGTGTTGTGACATCAGCTGCTGAAATATATCTCAACCATACTGGTCAAATGCATTATGATGTGGTGTTGTCAGTTCATGACTCTGAATTAAACACCTGTAACAGTAATGAAGAAAAACATGATGATGTCTGTGTCTGGAAAAGTGAGGTAGATGTAACGTGTCAATTGGCTGATAGTAATGCAGTGTTAAATATGAATGGAAAAAACCAGTCTGTGAAATCAAACAGTACCAGACATGGAGGAAAGGTGAAAAAAAGGAAAAGTCGTCCAAATTTGCGCTTAAAGAGAAAACTCGACAGAGAAAGAAAGAGAGAAAAACATAATGATAAAGATAATAACATTTCAGATATGAAGACAGATTTAGGAGAAGATGAAAACCAGCCAAAGAGAAACAATAAGAGAGCATATGATAAATTTAAATATCATGCAGATACCAAAGTCAAGAGAAAGATGAAATATTGTACAGACGATGACTATCGTAATGATCTTCTCAATAAAATGAAATTGAAATACGATGAAGACATCGCATTTAGGAAGAAAGTAATGCAAGAAAATACTAGAGCTATGTCTGTTCGATGAACAGAACATAGGGCTTTTCAGTATTTTTTTTGGGGGGGGGGGTGTTTTGTCCATATGCAATTAGATACCGTAGTTAGAGGACTAAATTCTTCACATACATGTATAGGACTTCAAAATTTACACCTTTTAACGTGACGTCACATGTCCCGCAATGACGTCATCGTAACACCACCATAAATCCCATGAAAAAAAGTGTAACATTTTGTTAGCGGAATAAAATCTTAAAAGTAAAAAAATCATAAAAATATCAACCGATAATGTCATGACGACGTCATTTCAAATTTTGCATACCTATCCACAAAGTTTCATGAGGATGGGAACTTATCTGTTATATGTGTTTTGGAAATTTGCGTTTTTGATAACGTCATCGTGACGTCACAAATTAGAAAAAAAATGTGTATATATACCTATTACCTAACAAACAAAATACAAAAGGAATTTTGAATTTTTCATGTTGCGTTCGTGAGATACGGTTGAAAGGTACAAAAATTCAAAAATTCATAAAAAATTGCACGATTACGTCATCATGACGTCACCTCATTTTTATCTATAACACATCGCAGTCTACCGACACACCGAGTTTCAACCCAATCGGACTGACTGTTCTGTAGATATACATGTAGGACTTCAAAATATGCACGTTTGTGATGACGCCACGTGTCCCATGATGACGTCATCATAACAATACCTGTCAGTCCACATTTTTTTTATTGTAGTCTTGATGTGCATCAAGTTTGACGTTAATCCAATGAAACAAAGTGTAAAATTTTGTAAATGCAACACAATTTTAAATATTTAAAAAATCATTAAAAATCAACCGATGACGTCATGGTAACATCATTTCAGATTTTGCATACTTGTGACACCATCTAATTATCCACCAAGTTTCATGACGATTGGGCCTTCCCTTATATTTTTTTTTTAAAATGGCATTTTTGATGACGTCATTGTGACGTCTCACTTTTTTTCTAAATTTTTGGCAAACACGTATTACCTAACATTGAACATAAAACAACAAGAATTTTCAATTTTGCATGTTGCGTTGGTGAGATATGGCTTAAAGCTCCAAAAATTCAAAAATTATATTAAATCGCATGATGACGTCATTGTGACGTCACCTCAATTTTAACCTACAATGTATAACACATCCCGGATTACCAACATACCGAGTTTCAACCCAATTGGACTTACTGTTCTGTAGATATAGGCCTTCCAAATATGCACGTTTGTGATGACGCCACGTGACCCATGATGACGTAATCATGACGTCACTCTTCGAGACACAACTTCACTATAGGGTCTTTACCTGAGATAAGTTTCATTCGAAAAGACTTTGTTTTAGGTCAAAAGTGGCGTGTACCAAAAACGTGTACAAAGTCAATGGGATTTGGGGTGGACCCAAAAAGATCAAAAAGAAGAGAAAAAAAAATCAGAACAAAAACAAAGGCTTTTCTCGCTGTTCAGCGAAAAAGTAAAAAAAAAACAAGTAATGTCAAATATCAGGGAGATGAAAGTTATCGAGTGAAAGTATGACAAGCTAAGAAAGAAGCAAGTAAAGTCAAATATCAGGGAGATGAAAAGTATCGATGGAAAGTAAGACAAGCGAAAAAGAAGCAAGTAAATTCAAATATCATGGTGATGCAACTTACCAAAATAAAGTGAAGGAAGCAATTAAGAAAGCAGGGAAACTTAAATATCATAGAGATGCAGATTTTAGAAGGAAACTTAGTGAAGCAGTTAGAATAATAAACTAGAGCTGTATGTCTGTTTGCAAACAGAACACAGGGCTTTTCCGCATTTTACAAATATTTATGTTTTGTTGGTCCTTTTGCAGTCACTTTTCAGAGTGCTTCATGCAGTTAAAGGTTGTTCAAAACACTTAGAATAATTCATAAAATATAATTTTATCAAATGACGTCACTTGCTCTGCAATGACGTCATCGTTAAAACCCTTCTCAATGTACATTTTGTCATTGTGGTTTTGGTTTGAACCAAGTTTTAATGTCAATCCGATGAAAGAAAGTGTGCAATTTGTGGAAGCCGAATAAAATTATAAATATCTAAAAAATAATAAAAACCAAACGATGACGTCATTGTCACGTCACTTCAAACTTTGCATACTAGTACCATTATCTACCTACCCACCAAGTTTCATGACAGTCAGACCTTTCCTTATATGTGTTTTGAAAAATAGCATTTTTATGACGTCATGATGACGTCACACATTTTTTTAAAAATTTTGTGCGAATACCTATTACCTAACAGACCTAATACAAAAAGAATTTTGAATTTTGCATGTTACGTTCGTGAGATATGGCTAAAAGGTCAAAAACTTCAAATATTCATATAAAATCTTGGGATGACGTCATCATGACGTCACCTCATTTTTTACCTATAACACATCCCAGTCTAGTCACATATTAAGTTTCAACCCAATCAGACTGACAGTTCTGTAGATTTATGACTTCATAATATGCACGTAAATTTTAAAAAATCAATAAAAAATTAGGTGATGACGTCATCATGACGTCATAGTCTTGGCATAATTTCCGTATGAGGGTCTTCCTTGGCTGTAACTTAACATTGATGACGATTCCAGATCGCCAAGTTATAGAAATGGTGGCTTGAAAACGTGTACAAAGTCAATGGGCTAACACGTGTACAAAGTCAATGGGCTAAAACAATCCCACTGCAGAAAAACCTGCACCTTTAAATATGTGATTTGCCTCTGAACTGAAACATTTTTATAAAATATTACTTGATATTCTGACTCTTGGAAATATTTTGAATCAAATGACAGCGCGAAAAAACACAATTTTTCTGTCCTTCTCATAGTAATTCTTGGCCGAAGTTCAGAACTACTCAGTAAAATATCAGTGTTGTATAGGGAAAAGACTTGTGGAAAATATCCACTGCAGAAAAACTGCACCTTTAAATACGTAACATAGGGCTTTTCGGCATTATGATTTTTTATTATACGTCCCTGACTATGCGCATGCATGAACATAAAATCTGTCAAAGTTATCCGAAAATCGGCTAAAACGGTCACTGTGATGTGGAAAGGATTTGACCTCAGCAACACGTGCTCTGCAGGCTGACTGACATACGATGTAACGTACGTGTATGTAATGTACATATAGACGTTCTGTGCATGTTTTAGAGCAGAGGTATTGTCAACCTGAAGTTTTAAGCGTGCGCAGAGCGTGTCCGAGTTCGCTTATTGCCTCGAAGCTTTGAAATGCTTTAGACCTACCCTTAAATCGACAATTAAAGTAAAAACTAACATAAAAACTGCCATGGTTGATTTTTCAGGAATTTTCAAATGAAAAAGGGTCTTTCTATTATAACTTCCGGTCTGAAGTGGGTCAAGGTCGTCATATACACCAATATTTAGGCGATTCCTACAAACTTCGCCACAGACATCTATTCAAAATACATTTTTGCAAATTTTCAACCTGTCGCTAGAGGGCGCTCGAAGATTGCATGACGTCATTGGTAGATTATTTGAAGAATACTTTTAGCCAAGAGAATAACACCGTTAAAAGCAAGTTCATATCTATTACCATTTTCAAATAATAAGCCACTTCCGGTTTTGGCCTTTTTCGACCGGAAGCAAGGGTCACGTGATTTCACACACTGAATGAAATAAAGACC